ATATATATATATCACATTTTCTTTATCAATTCACCTGCTAATGGACATATAGGGCCATTTCTAAGATTAAGCTAATAAACAGAGGTAGGCATGTGTCACTGTAATATGTCTTTAGTTCTTTTGGGGAGATGCCAAGAAGGTGTATAGTTGGATTGAATGGGATTTCTAGTTTCAGTTTTTTGAGGAACCTCCACACTGATTTCCATAGTGGTTGTATTAGTTTACATTCCCACCAACAATGCAGAAGTGTTTCTGTCCCCCGACATTTCCAATGTTTGTTGTTTCTTGAGTTCTTGATGATATCCTTTCTTTCTGGAGTAGGACAGAATTTCAGTGTTACGATTTGCATGTCTTTAATGGCTAAAGATGCCGAACATTTTTGCATTTTATTGGCTATTTGTCTTCTTCTGAAGAGTGTCTCTTCATTTCAATGGCCTGTTTTTAATTGGATCTTTTCGGGGGGGGGTCTAATTTTTTTGAGTTCTTTACTCTAGATATTAAGTCTTCTGTCTAAGGAGTAACCAGCAAAAAAATTTCCTATTCTATAGGTTGTCTCTTCACCCTGTTGATTGTTTCCTTTGCTGTGCAGAAAATGTTTTAATTTTATGCAATCCCATTTGCTGATTCTTGGTATTATTTCTTCTGCAATTGGGGTTCTGTTCAGAAAATCCTTACCTATGCCTATGTCTTGAAGAGTTTTATCAATTCTGTCTTTCAGCAGATTGAATTTCTACTTTAATATCTAAGTCTTTGATAAATTTTTATTTTATTTTAGTAAACAATGAGAGATATGGGTATAGCATCCTTCTTTCGTATGTGTGTAGCCAGCTTTATCAGCACCATTTGTTAAAGAGCTTTTCTCCAGAGTATATTTTTGGGCCTTTTGTCAAAGATGAGAGAGCTGAATGTGCATGTGATAGTTTCTGTATTCTTCATTCTGTTCCACTTATCTGCATGTCTGTGTTTGTGCCAATACCATGCTGGTTTTAGCACTGTAGCTTTATAATATAACTTGAAATCCAGGATTGTGATGCCTCCTGCTTTGCTGTTATTGCCCAGGATTACTTTTGCTATCCAGAGTC